GAGTAAAGAATGAAGAGAGGAAGAGCAAAGTCGGACTCACACGTCCCGATTTCAAGTTACTACAACGCCAAAGGCATCAAAACAGTGCGGACATCAGACTTCCCTGGTGGCCCAGCAGTTGAGAATCCACCTGCCGATGCAGTAGACACAGCGGCACGTCCGCTCGTGTCCGACATGGGCCCAGACGGTCTTGATCTGCACCACCTGGGAGCTCACCAGCTTAGATCGGTGACACTGTGCGATACAGCTGTGTGCAGGAGCTTAGAGACTGTCACCAGGGAGAGGGACAGACGGAGAACAGGGTCTCACCTAGACAGCGACAGAAGCATCAGGTGTGTCAACTGCACGTCCAGGCAAAGATCAAGGACATGACCCCTGTGAGCAGGAAGCTTCCTTATGCTGGGATGCTCATGCCACACTGCAGAGCAGACCACAGTGAGTGGAGGCCACCTTCTACCCTGCGTGTAACCAGGACGAGGGCTTGGCACTGTCTTCCCCAGCTCCGCCCACTGCACCTCTGTTACAGACATGCGCCATGTGGCATTCTAACCATTTATACTTATGTGGCACTCTAACCATTTATGCTTATGCCTGGGTGTGCTGCGTTATTTTCAATGGCCAGGACGATGCTTTTTTTTGCTTTTCTACAGCCTTAGAAGTAATTCAAGAGATATTTGACAAACAAATGAACAAAAGAATGATTGTTTAAAACTAGAAACCGTTCATGTGCATATTTATAAGGTTTTTTACCCCAAAGAGTCAAGTTTTAAATTTTAATGAAGAGGTAAAGAAAGTGGTTCCATTTCCTAAAAAGTTATTTCCCAGGATGGAGCCTTTCCTCCCTGGCCTGTGTACAATCTTCTAAATTTTTCAATAAATGGTAAATTCCTTCCAGGCATGATGACAGCCCACGGTCACCCAGTGATGTTTTCTGTCTTCCTGATCCGTATAGTACCTGGAAAGACGGCGGCCTGAGTCAGCCCAAAGGGAGATAAGTGTGTAGAATTTGGAGATGTGACTCACTGCTGTCTTCAAAACATCTCCTCAAGGGAAAAACAATCAAGTCATCAGGACAGCAGTCGCCGCCCACATCACAATTACCAGATCTCAGTGGTTGGAGAGCGATGCTGAAGGCGCCGTAACTTAAGGGAGAAGAAATAAAATTCTCTCAGCTATCCAGAAGAGCCTTATCTTGTTCTGTGCGCAAAAACACACATATGCCACAGTCAACTTAAATGTGTCATAAAGTGTTTTCACTGCCTGTTCAAATTAGCGATCTAATCTTTTGCCTTTAATTAAATGCACTTGATCACAGAGGTAACCCACATGGGGGCAGGGCCCCGCAGCAAGGGTGATAAATAACCACAGAACAAACAGCTTTGTTTGCTGTTGTTTCTGTTGGTTCCAGCTCTTCATTCCATGTGCAGCAGAATCATTTATTTGGAAGGACTTCTAGCCACTTCAAAATCATACAATTTACTACTCAGGTAGCAGATATAGTAACTGACTGTTGTCCGAAAGATCTGGGCAAGGGGTGCTGCCAGCCGTTCTGATCACCTTTCGGAGGCTCCAGAGAGGGAGAGTAACAGCATCCACCCAGAGCTTTGCCGGCAAGGTCAAACGGAAGCAAGCCTCCAGGGCGTTTCGTGAGCTGCTGGCACACAGTCGGGGCTCAGCCGACACCGGCTCGTGTCACTGCCCCGTCAACCTCTTCAGTCACCATGTATTTCAGCATTAAGCAGCACCTCAAGGAAAGCTATGACCAACCTGGACAGCATATTACAAAGCAGAGACATCACTTTGCCGACAATGGCCTGTATAGCCAAAGCTGTGGTCTTCCTAGTAGTCATGTACGGATACAAAAGTTGGACCATAAAGAAGGCCAAGCGCTGAAGAATTGATGCTTTTGGCCTGTGGTGTTGGAGAAGACTCTTGAGAGTCCCCTGGACTGCAAGGAGATCAAACCCGTCCATCCTAAAGGAAATCAACCCTGAATATTCATTGGAAGGACTGATGCTAAAGCTGAAGCTCCAATACTTTGGCCACCTGATACGAAGAGCTGATTCACTGGAAAAGACCATGATGCTGGGAAAGATTGAAGGCGGGAGGAGAAGGGGAAGGAAGAGGATGAGATGGTTGGATGGCATCACCGACTTGATGGACATGGGTTTGAGCAAGCTCCAGGAGATAATGAAGGACAGGGAAGCCTGGCGTGCTGCAGTCCATGGGGTTGCAAAGAGTCAGACAAGGTTTAGTGACTGAACAACTGTAAGAACCATGAAGATGGAGACTATAACGACTGACTTTAACATCGCTTGGAACTTCTATTTTTAAAAGTCAGTGGGGTGCGGGCGCAGGGGGGCGGGGGCTGGCGGTGGGAAATGCAAGAGGAAAGGCAATAAGAATGGCCAAGTGAGGGGAGGCAATGTGACCAGAGCCAGCCAGCGCTCTGCTGTGCCAGGGGAACTCAGAAAAGAAAGCCGGCGGTGCGCGCACCTGCAGTCTGTGTTTAGTGACCGCCTGGCACGCAGTTTAAGGATTACGACTACAGACGTCAAAACACACGCCAGTCTGACAACACGGAGCAGAACTCTGGCATGACAACTTCAAGTTCAAACAGAAAAGCCCACACAGAATTTCTTTTATAAAAGCACCTCTTCTTCCTCTTCTTCAGTCTCTCTCTCTCTCTCACAGGTATTTAAATTTTATGTGTACATTTCCCAACAACCGAAAGCACCTGCCACCACCCTGTGACTCTATCAGACACGTGCATCTCAGGGGTCTTCTTTTTTTTCGTTTCTTTTTCTACTTGGCCATGTCCTCCAAGGATTACCTGACAGGGCTGATCTAACTGCAGAACAGCAGCGTCATTAATGTACAGTGATGACTTGGGAACCTGTTTCAGGGACTATATTCAGCCAATTACTGTGTGAATAAACCTCATAAGAACCTATCAAGGATACTGGCACCGCACGAGGAAGAGACGACTGACTCAGGAAGCGACAGCTGATTCGTAACTAACCCTCCCTGATTTGCGTTCTGAGCGCTGGCCCCGGACACCAGGTGCCCCTGGGAGGAAGCCTAGGATCCAGCAAATCTTTTGTCTAAAAAACAAAGCAAAACAAAGGCACCTTTTCCTGTTTTTTGAAGTTAGTTCCTACTCAAGAAGAGATAACAGCTCACATATTTGCTCCCAGTGTTTTGTGCTTTCTATTAAGATGTGTATCTTTGATTCTCGTGTTTCTTACTACCCTCAATCTTCCTCCCTCTAAAGTTATTCACTCCATCTAGCATCATGGATACTAAGATCACAGAGGAAATCGAGTTCTACTTGACCAGAAACTGTCTCTATGCCACGCTGGACAGCCTCTGTTTAAACATTTCCAACTAAGGGGGCTCTCTGTTAATAAGTGGCTCTCACCATCTGGAAAAAAACAAAACAAAACAAAGCCTGTTTAATAACGTCAGAGATGCACCTTTACTGGCTACGTGCCAGAGCCTGTGCCCAGCTCGCCTCCTCGAACCATCAGAAAGAAACTTGGAGGGAGGCGTCTCTGCGCTCGTTTTAGCTCTGACAAACGGAGACTGGCGGGGTTAGACAAGGTGCTGACCAAGACACAGCTGTCCAGACAGCACTCCTGCCGCTCCAGACACTCGGCCCCGCCTCCCCACGTTCACTCGCTGGCCCTCCTCTGCACCTCTCTGCTCCCTCCTCTCCACGAATGACCTTCAAACGTTGGCGAACCATCCGAGAAGCGTGTGGCCCCGAGCTGGGCTCTCCCGTGAGCCTTGCTGGGCTGAGTGGAGAGGAACCCCGGAGCTGGCTGGGTCTGAGCCCAGGGCGGGCCCCACGGCCCAGGCCAGGCAGCGCCGATTCCCCGTCTCCTGTCTCCCTCCAGCCTCATTCTCTCACCCCTGGACCTTAACCCAGGGTCCATCCTCAGTTCTGAGTCCCCAAGAGGGACCGCTCCCCTCCGGTCTGCTGCCGCAGGAGGCCCGTGACCAGCCCGAGCCAGAGCCGCCTCACTCCCCGGCCACACAGGGCATGTCCTTCCACATGGGGAGGGGGCCTGGGGGGCGGTGGAGACATCAGCATCAGCCCCGCCCCCTCCTGCTCACACAGGGACCCTCCTACCCTGATGCCCAATCTTAGCCAGCTTCCCCTGGGGGACTCACAACGTGATAAAGTACTTTTAAACTTAAATTCTGACTGTGACTTTAAAAAAAAAATGCACAGCTCTGAAATTAAGTTTAGAAATAGTTTTTTTGGGGGGGTGGGGAGGTTGGACCTTGTGGCTGTGAGACCCTAGTTCCCTGACCCGAGGCTCTTGGCCGTGACAGCAGAGAGTCCTAACCATCGGACCCCTGGAGAATCCCTAGAAATAAGCACTTTCATGAAACAACGGTCCTACAAAGAGCTGGAAAGGTCCTCCTCAAGTTCCTATGGTCCAGGGAGAATTTCATCAGAGCCCCCCTTTTCCACGCCCCCCCGCATCAGGTAGTCCAGCCAACAGTGAGGGTTGAGGACAAACCAGCAGACACGATAGACCTCCATGTCTTACACTGTGTTCTCAGCACTTACGGAACATCTGCTGAACCGGGGGCACAGTTCCAAACGCAGTGGGAACAAAAAAGGGACGACAGGCTGGCTTTGTTCCTAAACAGTCTGGAAGACAGGCAGCTCTCGTGGGACACGCCTCAAAGGCTTGTGGGCGATTCCAAAGCAGCCGATCAACAAACACGACATCGTCAGTGCAAACCCAACACCCAGAGCTGACAAGGAAGAGCTCCAAGACCAAGAAGCCACTGCAAAACTAGGCGAGAGAGATGGTGCTCTCCTAGAGCGCAGCACAAAGTCCGGAGGGCGAAGCCAGCACAGAGGCCGGGCAGCGAGCCCTGCAGGAGGGTGCAGATGCGGACGCAGACAGAACGTGCATGGGGCTCCCTGGGAACAGGGCCCCCCAGGAGAGCCTGTGCCCACACGCTGGGTCCTCCCGTACCTGAGTTTACCAGCTGCTGCTCCATCACCCCGCAGCCCAGAACCTCCAGCCATTCCCCGTGGAAGTTGATCTCCATCTCGAAGGAGGGATGAGTGAAGGGGAAGTAGCAGTCCACCCATCTGATGTCCAGTCCTGCAAAGACGCCAGAGAAAAACAGACATGGAGCGTTACAGGCAGTCTCGCCTTTTCCGTGATCAAATCTGCTAAGGAGAGACTAGCTGACGACACCAAAAGACTACTTTCTGAGTCAAATAAATAGCAAATAAATAAATTTGCAACACTTTAGGGGGAGGCACTAAACCTTATAACTTGAGAAAAACTGAACACGCCTTTCCCAACATGAGAAACACTCTGTGTAGTTCCAGGGCCCTCTGAAACCCAATCAGTCACCCGTCAACCCTGCGGCCACCTGGCAGAGGAGAGAATTAGGTCACGATCACAGGAAAGGGGGCTTCCGAGGTGGGCTAGCGGTGAAGAACCCGCCTGCCAGTGCAGGAGACATAAGACATGCATGAGACGCAAGTTTGATCCCTGGGTTGGGAAGATTCCCCTGGAGAAGGGAATGGCAACCCACTCCGGTATTCTTGCCTGGAGAACCCCATGGACAGAGGAGCCTGATGGCCTATACTGAGTTCACTGAGTCGCAAACAGTTGGACATGACTGAAGTGACTTAGCATGCACGCACGGGAAAGCAGGTCATTCTGCTAGTTTCTATAAAAGCAAACAACATCTAAATCACCCCCATGGCCCTTTAAACTGAATCCGTACCAAGCAGTGAACAGGCCTTTTCTCACATTTCCCAATACTGCTCTGCTCTTATTAGAGAGCAGAGCTCTCTGCTCTTTCTTAAAAAAATTTTTTGAGTAAGTCATATATTCACAGGGTTCAAAATTGAAACACTGTGAAAAGAATACATTTCCCTGTATAAACAGGCCGTGAGTGAAAAAATTCGAAGTTTGTCAGGTGACCGGTGTTAAGTAAACTTACCGTGGCGATCCTTAATATATACCTATATACAGTCATTACATCATATACTAATACAATGTTCTATGTCAGTTACATCAATCAAACTGAAATAAAGATAGGGCATTGTTTACAAGTCTCACTGGCATACCGGTTCCTGGCTCCTCCGCCCCTTGAATCCCTGTGGGTAAACTCACAGGGTTTCCTTTTTATTAACAGACGTGAGCAAACACAGGCGTGCACCTCTTGTTTCCCTCCTTTCTTACACAGAAACACCACACGTGATCCCACACCACGCTTCTCTCACACAGAGACACGGAGGCCCACACCCCACCCTCCATGTCTGGCCCCAGGGACGTGGGTAAGTCCCCCGTGTGCAGAGAGAGTGACCACAGACGCATGACCAAACCCAGCTCCACCACTGCGAGCCGAGGGGCCTCAGGCAGGTTCCTTGAGTTCTCCCTGCCTCAGTCTTGGTCAAAATAAGAACAGCATTCATCTCACAGAGTTCTGGTAACAATCTATTAGGGTAAGTGTGTAAAAACTTAAATACTCAATGGGTGATTTTTGACAGGCATGTCATTGCAAACCAGACCGTGATCTAAACTCTCTCTCGGGTTTTCATAAAAATATGAAGAAAAAGAAACATTCCTAAAGGGCTCGCTGAGGTCATTGACATCCATTGCTTACTTACTGCGGTACTACATGAGATGGTTCACAGGCCTCCTTCAGTTCAGCCTTTATGATGAGGACAGGCAGCCGTGAACACGGCATATTCATCTCCCACAGATGCAGGAGTCGGGGCTGCTTACACATCTTGACGTTTACAGTCAGAAAACGCCGAGGTGAGAATTCTGCTCCAGACAGGGGGTGGCATAGCCCTCCGCTGCCCTCCCCTGGGCAGACCGTGGAGACGGACCCCGCTCGGCTTCCAGGCCAAGCGCCCCCAGCCAAGAGCGCACTGCCAGCCCCCTGCTCCCGACGCACCACGACAGGCATGATAGAGAAAACCGCAAAGGCCAGGCTGTGATCAAAGATGAGAGGAACACTTCCCCCGGCCAGAAACAGGCCCGAAAAGCAGGGGGTCAGAGAGGGCAAAGCTCCGCGCTGCTGGGCTCGGGCTCCGCAATCCGGGAGAAGACGCCAGCTCGCCACCTGCAGGAACACGCGCTGCTGGCTTGGGATCCGAGCAAGGCCAGAGGCCTGCGGTCAGACCCTGCGACGGCAGGGATTCCCTGCTGGTGAGAGAGGGGGACTGAAGTCACCCAGCACAGCCTGGGGCTGCGGCTCTGAGGCGCTTGGAGAGAGCCGAGCCCCGGGGGCGAGACCGGCCGTGTCCCCATCAGGGCTGAGTGCATCTGACGGCCCCCAAACCTCTGCTGGACTGAAGGTCTGGAGAGCTCGGGGCCTGGGGCTGGTGTGCAGCCCCTGAGAACTGGGGAGCGGGGCGGGGAAGCGGAGGGTGGGGCGAGCTGGGGGAGGCAGGGGAGGGGACGGGGTGGGGGGTGGGAGCCAAATGGCTGGGCTGTCAAGTTCCGGCCACAGCTAGCCTTTGGATGCCGACCGCCCTGGGAAGGGCGCGCCCGTGAGCGAGGAGCCTTCCCACCTCCGCAGCTGCTCTGAGACAGACACGACTCGCCCACAGCTGGGTCCCAGGACGGGCAGTGGGGAGCGCATCTCTCAGACAACGCCAAGCCTGCTCGGCTCAGAAACAGACACATGACTCGCCCACAGCAATGCATCTAGCCAGCAGCAGGGGATCACAGTCCATCTCTCCTTCAGAGGCGTTCATCTAAACCGTGCCCGGAGGCCCGTGCTTCCTACAGGGAAATGTCAGCCTTCAGCAGGGAGACGGACGGGCTGGACGCCCTGAAGGACAAAAAGTGAGACCAAAATGTGAGGAATCCTCCATCCCACCTGAGCTGCTCTTAAAGAAACCATCTGCTACAGACAGTACAAGATGGAGGGAAACAATTTAGCAATGTTAAAAAATGTCAGTGAATTCCATGAGCGTAAAAGCTGTCTACAGGTTATTTTCTCTCTTTCCAATTCTAAACGGATAACCTCTCTTATAACAGCCTTAGGATGCTGGTGCAATTGAAATGTTAGCAGAAAATAATCAACCGCTTTAGCAAGTAGGGGAAAAAAAAACCAACCCTGAAACTAAAGCAGCTGTAATAACAGCAAATTGCCACAAGGAAATAGTGTGCTGTAATTTTTAATTTTGCTTTTCAAGAACAAAGGAATACAGCACTAATAATTTAAAAGAGTAAAAAACTTGGACCATAAAAACAAATTAAAAAAGAGTTGCTGAATAACTCTGAGGCCTGCCCACGCAGTTCCTGGTCATCAGCTGGTTAAAGAAGGACTGAATCTGAGGTTTCTCGGTGACCTTTGGTACCTGAAATGTACCTGAATATGCTGTCATGGGCGGGGCTTTAGCCACAGGAGAGTCAGAGGTACAGAGTCGGGGGCAACACGCAGAAGGAGGCCCCATTTTTCTTTTTAACATCATGGCTTTTAGAAACATCAGTGTCAGAAATATTATTGGAATGACTTCTTTCTCTCCTTTCAAAAGAGCTAACATCTGACACAGGCTCGGAAGTCAAAATTAGGGGACTCAAAGTGAAAGTGTCAATCACTCAGTCGTGTCCAACTCTTTGCGACCCCATGGACTGACTGTAGCCCACTAGGCTCCTCTGTCCACGGGATTCTCCAGGCAAGAATACTGGAGTGGGTAGCTATTCCCTTCTCCAGGGGATCTCCCCAACCCAGTGATCAAACTTGGACCTCCTGCATTGCAAGCAGATTCTTGACCGTCTGAGCCGCCAGGAAAGCCCAAGGAGGCTCAAACGAGGCCTCAGGTTACTCTGGAGCCATGTGGTTACTTGGTACTCCATTGCGCCGAGTCTGGGTTCCCGAACCTGAAAACTAGATCACAGTCACACCTATGTAACAGATGCAGGTCAGAACAAAGGAAGTCCTTGTGAGAGCTTAATGCAGCAGCTGACGCTGTTACCTACCATCGCTTCCTGTCATCATCACTACTACGGCTATTATTACTCTAAACCAGGGGTCCCCAACCTCCAGGTGAGGATCGGGACCTCCCGTCAGATGAGTGGCGGCATTAGATTAGAAATAAAATGTGCAATAGATGTGATGCACTTGAATCATCCCCAAACCATCCCCCGCCCCTGCCCAGTCCGTGGGAAAACTGTCTTCCACGAAACCCATCCCCGGTACTAAAAAGGCTGGCGACTGCTGCTCTAAAAGTCGTCCAGACGGCTTGTACCCAGAAGGCTTACTGAAATGTTTCTCAGCAACTAGCACCCCTACCCCAAATAAAACAACTCAGTGACCCCCTTCTGAAACGCGTGAAGTCAGAGCATGGCACGTGCCTTCAGCCAGGTCCCAGGGCGCTGTGAACATTCACCCACCTGAGCGCCGTGAGGGCACACAGCCTGCCGCCTGTAACACGGCCCCTCACCCTTCAAGTTCACAGCGTGAGCCTGGCGGGGGCACCTCCCCTCCCCCGAGAAGCATATCAGTGGATGCTACAAACGCCCCAACACCCCGTCAGTGATACCCCACAAAGGTGCACGGGGCTGGGCGAGGCTGGGCAGATGAGGCGTGCGGGAGGATTTTTGGGGTGTTTGGTGACTGTGTGAATGGGGTTAAGGACTGTGTGAATGGGGTTAATGGCTGGAAGAAAAGAAAAAGAAAAGGCTTTTTCACAGACCGACTTTAGTGCTTGGAACAAGATGTCTCTGGGAAGGTGGATACTTTACTTTACTGCCACTCCACTATTCTGTTGACTCTGGTCTCATAAACAAAAGAGTAAGTTTGAAGATTTATGAAATAGTAACTCCGATCTGTACTGAAATCTAAAACCTAAAGTCTAAGCTGGTAGCATTTTAAAAATAAAGCAAACCTCGTTTGCCTGCAATACAGATGCTACAACTTCACTGCTGTTTCAAAACTTGAGATCCTTAATTCTTGGCCACGGGCATGAGAGGCGTATGAGGAAACTCATATACTGCGGGGAAGGTCTTTCATGAGGAAAACAGCTACCTGGACACTTTCACCTCAATGCTCAGTTTTGAAAGCTGTTCACATATAAATGTAAAGAATAATGAGACAAAGGAAAGTTCAAGACTACGTTCAGAGGAATGCATATCCTCAGGACCCCTGGGAACATCTTCATAACATATACATGGTCTAGCAGTGTGTATGCCTGTTTCATTACTTGCTGGAGCCCAGAAGGACTCTTAGGGCGCCATCAATGCCAGTCTGAACTGCTGTACTGATGTCTGGCACAAAGTCACATCTCACCTCACTAGGCAAAACAAAGACAAGCCAACGCAACCATTGTTCTTTGATTGTATGGCCCCATTTTGATTGCCTTCATTTGCCTGCCCTTCCTTATTTCTTTTTTTCATATTTACACATGCATTTAATATCTTCTTAAAGGGCACTGTTCACATATGTTATCTCACTTTATTCTCATGGGAAACTATACTATTTATTATCTTGAGCTTTAAAAATACTAGGACCTAAAGCACTAAACGACCAAGATTTTGGAGCAAGTGGAGGAAAGAGAACTTAAATGTAATTTTTCTGGTTCCACGCGGCCATCTCCAGCCGGCCATGAGATTCTTCCTCTTTGCAGTCCTGCGTGGTCCAGCTCGATGCCCGCTCTCCGTGAGTAGGGCAGCTCAGACCCCCACTGGGAGCTCTCCCGGCCGGATCCAGAGGAGCCGCCTTTCCCGTGCGCTGCCGTGACACTCGGGCCTCCCCAGGAGAGGACGTCACACTCTCAGCTGCTCGAAGACTGGGACTGTCTCATGTACCCAATACTGCGACGCCCGCAGCATGGTGGAAATCCAGCAAAGTGAAACCCACCTGAGGGAGCTCAGAGGAAAGCAGAAGAGGCGGCTCCCCAGAGTCCAGCACAGACTCCAGCAGGGTTCCTGGCTGGAGGACACCAAGGAGGACTTCACTGCTGGTGACATCAGAGGGTAAGTGAGGATTTTCCACGTGGAGGGGCCGGGAGAGTAAGCAAGGGGAGCGGAGCAAAGGAACGAAAAATAATAAAGAAGAAGGAGAAACACAAATGCCAGCTGTCAGAGAGAGGAAGCTATCCGCCACGTCAGAACCACTCGGTCACAGGTGGAACTGCAGGGCATCTCCTGCACCTCACGAGGGGTTTCCTTGGTGGCTCAGCGGTCAAGAACCCGGATCCACCTGCTCAGTCTAGGAGACACAGGTCCAGTCCCTGGGTTGGGCTGGGAAGATCCCCTGGAGAAGGAAATGGCAACCTACTCCCATATTTTTGCTGGGAAATCCCATGGACAGAGGAGCTTGGCGGACTACAGTCCAAGGGGTCACAAAGAGTCAGACAAAACTTAGCAAATAAGCAACAGCAATAAATCTCACAAATGGGGGGTCATCCGATGATAGAAATGTGTAGCGAGACATAAATAAGGAGGGCTTAAAACCAATTTTCTTCACAGGGTGACAACAGAAAAACTGAGATGATCCTGGGCTTCCTTGTAAAGCGACTTGAGACAGACTACCGTCTCCCTAAAATGTTAGAACTGATGCTGTTCAGTCGCTCAGTCGTGTCCAACTCTTTGCAACTCCATGCACTGCATGCAGCACACCAGGCTTCCCCGTCCTTCATCACCTCCCGGAGCTTGCTCAAACTCATGTCCGTTGAGTCGGTGATGCCATCCAACCATCTCATCCTGTTGTTCCCTTCTCCTCCCACCTTCAATCCTTCCCAGAATCAGGGTCTTTTCCAGTGAGTCAGTTCTTCGCATCAGCTGACCAAAGTATTGGAGCTTCAGCTTCACATCAGTCCTTGCAAATTCAGGGCCGATTTCCCTTAGGATGGACTGGCTGTATCTTCTTGTATCCAAGGAGATGTTAGAATTCTTTTACCATTACTTGCCTCGAAAATGCCCTGAATAGCACAATCCATCTCCCTATAGTATTACAGTCTTAACTGGATTATATTACTGCTAAAAATATCACAATTCCTATATCATGAAAGTAAAGAGAAGTTGGCTATAATAAGATTTTTGCATCAGCAATCTCTTTCTGAAACCTGCCTCACAATTACATTATACCATTTTAACATGAAATAGTCCAAAGAGACAGAAATAGAAAACAGCAAACATCTACACACTCACTATTTAATTTTATCAAATCATCACATTTTGTCATATTTAACTTCATATCTTTTTTGTTTTAGTAGAACCCCATGAACACACTTGAAAGCCTGATTTGGACCTTCTTCGTAATACCACTCTCTGCCTCCTAGAAAAAGACACTAGCATGAAACTGATGTACTTTTTAAAAAAATACATGTATATAAACAATATATGGGGTTGTTAGTGGGTTCTTAAATAGTACATGAACAGTCAAGATATTCAAAGAAACCTTGAAATAACAGGGAAGCAGAGGCTTAATAAATCATAATAAGAATCTTTTTAAACACATATTTGAGTTCACACAGAAGTAGGGAAATCTAGAGGTAGGAAAAATGAGGCACGTAAGAGTAGTGAGTAAGTGGTCAAGTTCCCCAGAGAAACAGTATTGCAGATACCTGAATAAGGCCAAGACTGTGTACTATAGACTATTTTTTTATATCTATGTCAACACATACAACTGTTGGATTTTTCAGTTTTTTCACATATGAAGAATGACAAAGGATAGCTCAGGTAGTTTTCATTTGCTTCTCCTGGTTACTAATCAGAGTGAGCATCTCCTCACACATTCAAGAGTCATTCTATTAATAACCACATCATCTGTTGCCTTCATGATCACCCATTTCTCTCACAGGTTGATTTTTCCTTGTTTATTTGGAAGAGTTATTTATATAGCTGAATGTTTATTTGACAAATCACTACTGTCCTATTGGAATGGCTAAAATTTAAACGCCTGGCCGCCTCAGAGCACAAGAAGTTTTCATATACTACAGGACAGTTCAGCGGCTTCTAAGAAAGTTAAAATTCACCTGCCAAAAGACGCAACCATTGTACTCCTGGGTACTTAACGAAAAGAAATGAAGGCATCGGTCCAGACAAAGACATGTACATGAATACGCAGAGATTTACCTGTAATCGCAAAAAACTGGAGACAACCCAAATGTCTCTCAATGGATGGACAGATGAACTACAGAATGGAACACTGCTCATCAAGAAAAAAGGAATGAACTACTGACATTACGCTACAACACGGATCAATCTGCAAATAATTGTACTAAGTGAAATATGCCAGCAGGAGGGGTGGGGAGAACACACATCACAGGATTCATCTATATGTACCCAGAAGGAGCGAAGCAAACGGCAGGGACAGAAAGATCACTGGCTGCCGGGGTGGAGACATAGGAAATGCAAGAAGGAGGGTCTGCCAGGCGCCAGCGGAGACCTGGGGGCGATGGACCCACTGATTAGCTGGATGCTACCAGTGGTTTCACGGGTGCACACAAACATTGAGACTTGTAAGACTGTGTAAATATGTTGTTTATGGTATATAAACTTAGCTGATTAATTATACACTCTAGGTATACATGGTCTACTTTTTTGTCAATCACACTTGGATAAAGAACTTGCTCTTTTAAAACGCTCACAAGAGTATGAGAACAAAGGAGGACCCTCACCATGCAGAGCTGCTGTTTTCTGAACGTTCCAAAAATGCAGATCCCAGGGGGCTTCCCTGGCGGCTCGGTGGCAAGGGACCCGCCTGCCTCTGTAGGACACATGGGTTTGATCCCTGATCTGGGAAGATGCACCTGCCATGGGAGCAGCTGAGCCCGCGAGCTGCAGCTGCTGAGCCCCTGAGCCCGAGAACCTGGGCCCCACCCAGGAGAAGTCCCGGCCACAGAGGGGCCGGCGCTCACCGCGACCCGAGGAAGCCCGCGCAGCAGCGAAGCCCGGCACAGCCGGCAATAAAGTTATTAACAAATAGAATCTTTTCTAAAAAGTAGGTCGTAATCAAGGAAAAATCGCCCCTCTTCTCTACATCTTTATACAAACAAACAAAAATACCATCTCAAGTAAATCAGAGAAGAGTTGGAGGGGAAAGGGAAACTAAAATTTCTTAGAGAAAGAATGAAGGGCAAGTGATTAAAGTGAGAATCCACATCTTAAAAACACTGTTCTCCCCCCCAGGAAACTGTTGGTATTTTGCTGCTGACACTGGTAATCAGCATGTCAGAATGTAAAATCTTCCTCTGGGCTCGCTCACACAGTTAAGAATCCTGCCCCATCGATCAAGGCTGACCAATGATAATATATTAATATTCCGACATTAATCAGCCTGTTCACTTCCTCTCCACTGATGAGACTGATCTCAATTCATTACCATTCTTATCAAAAGCTGTAATCATTTTTCTTTCTCCAGCTAATTCCATTTTCATATCCTCCTGCTCCTCACATGGAATGAACCAAGAAACCCATAAGCTCTATCTCACTAAAGACCGAAACCATTAACTACAACTTAGACCAAAAACTCTAGACACAAGTAGGCTTAATGATTTCAGGAAGATGATAAATGCTGAATATTTAAGCCCCCAAAGACAAAGGCATTTAGTACCTACCATCTCCAAAGATATGTGTCATAAGCTGGGTAAGTGTTTGCTTAAGGTCAAACTCGACGAGCTTCGTGGCTTCCAGGGTATGTGTCTCTTGTTTATGGGCAGAGCGGGAACTCTGTTCAAAAAGCTGCAGGTTCTCTCCATCTTTTATGCCAGCAAATAACTGTAAACCAAGAGGAATAATGCAAATAAATAAAAACAGCATCTTCACCAGTCTACATCAAAAACCACAATGTGGAAATGAAACTCAAGAAGTCATCAGTGAACATACTGAAATTGACATTCATTTGGTATCAGCGTTGAACAAGGCCCGGTGCCACATGTAATGGACAGTCTTTAGGAAATTAAAGACACCATTCTGATCACGCTGATCGCCTCTTTTCCTTTTGCACCAACTTACTGACATGCCATTTCCTTACAAGACACATGACCCTCCGTACTACTGGAAATACCAGTGAACCAGGTTTTCACCACCCTTACAACATGACCTGAGACCAGGTGAGAAGGGACAGCCTAGGTATGAAGTCCTGTGAAGCCCTCTGAGGCTGGATGCACCCTGGACTTGTTGCCCTGTGACCCCAAAGGCCAGGATAAGGCTGGAAACGTGTTTCTGCCATTTACTGTCCAATAAGCTACAAAAAATTTAGGTTTGCTGGTAGCTCAGCTGGTAAAGAACTGCCTGCAACGTGGGAGACCTGGGTTCAAATCCCTGGGTTGGAAAGATCCCCTGGAGAAGGGAATGGCTGCCCACTCCAGTATTCTGGCCTGGAGAAGTCTATGGACATGTATAGTCCATGGGGTCGCAAAGAGTTGAACACGACTGAGAGACTTTCAAATTCCAAAAAGTGATACAGGAGCTAAGCCTCAGGTAATGGTTCAAAAAGTGGGGATGAAAAGAGATTTTATGATAATTAAATAAAATAATGCAGAAGCACAGAATCCCTGGCACATTGCAGTGACTAAATACATTGCCTTCACAATCACCAACCACTAATCACAGCTGTCATCAGTCCGAAGCTGCTTAACCACTAAATAAAGCGCTCCCGTCTTTAACAACAAAGCAGGTCTTCGCCTGGTAGGGAGACTGACCGAAGATGGGGTAAGCAAGCACAAGGTGAGGAGCAGGAGAGAAGACGGGAACTGGTGAGGAACCAGGCGACCTAACACCCCACCAGACGGAGCGAGTGTTCAAATCCTGAGAGTGTCCTGGTGGATCTGATCAGACCCCACAGAAAAGGGAGCCAAATGTTTGCTCAATTTGAAACTATGGCTTTCCAGAGGCATGGCTACAATGGAAGAGAAAGGGGCAAAAGAAAGTAAAAGACTTTTTTTTGGCCACTAGGTAGGGAGGCATAAAAGAAACAAAAGAGAAAGTCTAGGGCTTCACAAAACCTCCCTCTAAAAAAATTCCACTGAAGATTCTGCACTTTGCTACACTCACAGAAGAGGGCACCAGAGAGCTGCAAAGCCGGCTATACAACCAAAAACCCACAAAAAGGAACAGAAGTAATTCTACAGAACTGTAGAAAATCACCACAAAAGAATTTTAAAAATTTAGAAACCATTCAAAACAGCTCAAATGATGGCTCTCTACCCCAAAAAAAGAAAACCAAGAAGCAGAAGCAAAGTATAAGATGATACTTGAAAATGAAACTAAATGTGCTCAAACGAGCATTTGGTGATATAAATAATTGCTTGATGTTTAGAACAAACATGAACAAAAAACAGAGAATTGTGAAGTCAAGAAAGAAACAGAAGGAAAAAAAATCATTTCAGAACTAAACTCTAAATTACAAGACACACAAGGAATAACGGATTCAATGAAGACTTAGTGAGAAGACCTGAAGAAAAACAAGGAAATAGCCAAGAAAATGACAGAGATAAAGAAGAATCAGAGAGAGGGTAGCAGAAATGGAAGACAGGCAAAGGAGAAATAACATTTATATAACTGGAGTCGGTGAAAGAGGAAAAACAAACAGTGGAGCAGAATAACTGTGAACCAGGTAAAATGGTACCTGAAGAACCACATAAAAGACATACCCTAGCAGAAGTATTAGCCCTCAATGATGAAAAAATCCTCAAGGTCTCCAGGCAAAAAGATCAAAGGTCTTAGACAGGCAAAGCCACCGGCTTAGCATCAAACTTCCAAAACAGCGTATGAACAAGGTAACAGTGAGGCCACATATTCAAACAACTCAACAACAACAACACAAACACATGGACCAAGAATTTTATACTCAGTAACGCTGGGCTTTCAGTACTAAATCCACAGTAAAAGCTTTAACATACAAGAGCATAGGGAATTTCTTATTAGTGAACTCTTTTTTCTATATGTCACGACAAAATAGAAATAGTGTAACCCAAAAGTAGAAGAAGAGAGAGTCCCAGTGGAATAAACTCATTGGCTTAATGGCCGAAAACTCCATAGAAAAATGGGAGAAATAATGAACAGATAATTCACCAAAAAAAAAAAAAGAAAGAAAGAAAATGACCCTTAAACCTGTGAAAAGGTATTCAGACAGAGGAATGCAAAATAAAACAACAATGACACATTGTTTTTCAACTATTGCATTGGTGGAAATTAAAAAGCAAGACAACATTCTTTTGGTGAGGCTTGGGAAAAGATGAACTCACACACTGCTGATGAAAGTGAAAACTGGTGGGACCATTCTGGAGGTAAATTTGGCAATATCCAGCAAAACTACATTTGCATTCATCTCCTGACCTAGTTCTTCTACTTCTGGCTATTTACCCTGAATACACTTCCAGAATTAATATATACATAACAAGGTTTTCACTATAGCATTATTTAAATTTGCCAAGTACTGAAAAACAAAGAAATGCCCACACAAAAAAAGAGACAGAGGTTAAATAAACTATGGTCTATCCATACAGGACTCCAGTACTTTGGCCAGCTGATGGAAGAACTGACTCACTGGAAAAGACCCTGATGATGGGAAGGATTGAGGGCAGGAGGAGAAGGGGACGACAGAGGATGAGATGGTTGGATGGCATCACCTACTCGATGGACGTGAGTTTCAGCAACTGGGAGTTGATGATGGGCAGGGAGGCCTGGCGTGCTGCAGTCCATGAGGGTCACAAAGAGTCGGACACGACCAAGCGACTGAAATGACTGCTCCACTGAACTGACTGATCCATACAGTGGAGTACTAAGAGACATAACATTAATTAAAATATGAGGATGACCACTCTAAATGACATATAATGATTCTCAAGCCCCACTATGTGGAAAAAGCAATCTTACTATGGTACTTTTCATGCAAGAAAGAAGAGAAAATAATACAATATACATGAATCTGAGAATTCCCTGGCAGTCCAGTTATTAGGACTCTGCACTTTCACTGCTGAGGGTCCGGGTTTGATCCCTGATTGGGGAACTAAGATCCCACAGGCCACTTGGTGTGGCCAAAATATATTTAAATAAATATATTCTATATAAGTGAATATATATAATATCTATATAATGAACCTGTTCATTCGCATAAAACAAAAATAAACAACATGGGAATGATGAAATAGAAATGAGACTGACTGCCTACTAGAAAGCGGAATGAACAGGCTGCAGAATGAAAAGAACTGGGGAACACGGTGGAGTGAAGAGGAGGTGGTGGGAAGGGGGCAGAGACAGGAGGGACCCTTTTTTAAGTAAGATTGCTCATACAGTTCTGACGTTTGGAATCACATTAATATTTTACTACTTTTTAAACACTAATATCTACAGTGTCTGCAATATATAGGTAGAACAAAGAAAATACTCATAACACACAATAAAGACTAAAGTTTGGGAAATTCTGCAAGAAGGACAAGCAGTAACTCATGAGAACATCAGCATAATACAGCACAGGAGAAACAAACAGGTAAACAAGTCAGCTCTTATTTCTAGAGTAAATGTAACACTGGAGCTGGAAGGGGCATGAGACAGCAGCCAAGCCAGTCTCAAGTAAGGAAACGGACTCTGGAGAGGTGAAGACCCAGGGAAGCTGAGATCACTTGGCCAAGCAATCACCAGGCAGGGACTAAACCACTCGTCTCACCCTTGATTCCAGGGGCCTTGAAGTGGCTGCCTTTCACTTAGCTTTCTGTTTGAGAGACATCCACTGGCAATAAAACTAAATTAGATTTCCATTAGCTGCACACAATAGGCTGTGCCATTTGTTTTTCCACTAGGATTTCTTCTATTTCTCTGACATTCTTTTAAGTGTCCTTGCAGAAGCCTCAGTGACCCAGAATACAAATTCCACCGCTACTAGAACTGCTTACAGAAGCCAGGGCAGGTAGTTCACAAATGAGAAAAGAATAGGTGCAAAAAATTAATTCTAATCAGGCTTAAGAATAAAAATGGATTGCAAAAGCCAATTATATTTGAAATTTAGAAAGCCAAAAGGATTTTGCAAAACGGCCCAGATTTTAAACATACATTTAAAACACAAATAAAAAGGCAAATGGTCAGAAGAATAACATACATCTATGCAAAATCCAATGGGCGGCCAAGGATAAATGGGCTTGAATGACAGCAAAATTCCAGGCAGCTATTTAGGGCTGCTCTGTGGTTCCCAAGGCAGCCATTTTTCTATTCAAACATTTAAAATTATGCATTGATCACTGGTTTAATCCATACAGTCCACCTTACATATTAATGCAAACATCCCCCGTCCCCATCCTGCCTCTCTGAATTCCTGGGCAGATTCAAGGACCCTACAAGTGACTTTGCTGCTGCGGCGTGGACTGCTATTGGCTAACAGTTATTGCTCGTTTACTAATTTGCTACCTTACTGCAGGCTTACCTTTTCACTTGAGGGGTTCATTTAATTCTCACAATCCTGTTCTTTCCCCCATTTCTCATATAAGAAACTTGAGACTTTGAGAAGTTAACCGGCCATTGGTACACAGCAAGTGATGAAGCGTGAACTGAAACCGAAGCCCTGATCCCATCTTCTGGGCTCCACTTATTTCCCTGACAGCATACACATGACCATCAGCTTGGCTTGGCGGTCAGAGGGCCTATGGTCAGACGGATGGGATGAAGGAGTGGACAGAAGGCTTGAGCAGAGAGGCACAGTGGTGGCTTGACACGGTGATGCGGCAGTGGGCACCTTCTATGAAACAGTGATGGTTTATCCCAAGTAAATCATTATTGTTGCA